ACAACCAGTGCTTCTATCCATACAATATATACATTCTAAGTTCTGAGTTCAGCTAGTATCGAATCAGGTGGGTTCGAATCTTCCTTCTGGTACAACAACCAGTGTTTCTATCTATATAATATATACATTCTAAGTTCTGAGTTCAACTAGTACAGAATCAGGTGGGTTCGAATCTTCCTTCTGGTACAACAACCAGTGTTTCTATCTATATAATATATACATTCTAAGTTCTGAGTTCAACTAGTACAGAATCAGGTGGGTTCGAATCTTCCTTCTGGTACAACAACCAGTGTTTCTATCCATACAATATATACATTCTAAGTTCTGAGTTCAACTAGTACAGAATCAGGTGGGTTCGAATCTTCCTTCTGGTACAACAACCAGTGCTTCTATCCATACAATATATACATTCTAAGTTCTGAGTTCAACTAGTACAGAATCAGGTGGGTTCGAATCTTCCTTCTGGTACAACAACCAGTGCTTCTATCCATACAATATATACATTCTAAGTTCTGAGTTCAACTAGTACAGAATCAGGTGGGTTCGAATCTTCCTTCTGGTACAACAACCAGTGCTTCTATCCATACAATATATACATTCTAAGTTCTGAGTTCAACTAGTATAGAATCAGGTGGGTTCGAATCTTCCTTCTGGTACAACAACCAGTGTTTCTATCCATACAATATATACATTCTAAGTTCTGAGTTCAACTAGTATAGAATCAGGTGGGTTCGAATCTTCCTTCTGGTACAACAACCAGTGCTTCTATCCATACAATATATACATTCTAAGTTCTGAGTTCAGCTAGTATCGAATCAGGTGGGTTCGAATCTTCCTTCTGGTACAACAACCAGTGTTTCTATCCATACAATATATACATTCTAAGTTCTGAGTTCAGCTAGTATCGAATCAGGTGGGTTAGAATATTCCTTCTGGTACAACAACCAGTGCTTCTATCCATACAATATATACATTCTAAGTTCTGAGTTCAGCTAGTATCGAATCAGGTGGGTTAGAATATTCCTTCTGGTACAACAACCAGTGCTTCTATCCATACAATATATACATTCTAAGTTCTGAGTTCAGCTAGTATCGAATCAGGTGGGTTCGAATCTTCCTTCTGGTACAACAACCAGTGTTTCTATCCATACAATATATACATTCTAAGTTCTGAGTTCAACTAGTATAGAATCAGGTGGGTTCGAATCTTCCTTCTGGTACAACAACCAGTGTTTCTATCTATACAATATATACATTCTAAGTTCTGAGTTCAACTAGTATAGAATCAGGTGGGTTCGAATCTTCCTTCTAGTACAACGACCAGTGTTTCTATCCATACAATATATACATTCTAAGTTCTGAGTTCAGTTAGTATCGAATCAGGTGGGTTCGAATCTTCCTTCTGGTACAACAACCAGTGTTTCTATCCATACAATATATACATTCTAAGTTCTGAGTTCAACTAGTATAGAATCAGGTGGGTTCGAATCTTCCTTCTGGTACAACAACCGGTGTTTCTATCCATACAATATATACATTCTAAGTTCTGAGTTCAACTAGTACAGAATCAGGTGGGTTCGAATCTTCCTTCTGGTACAACGACCAGTGTTTCTATCCATACAATATATACATTCTAAGTTCTGAGTTCAACTAGTACAGAATCAGGTGGGTTCGAATCTTCCTTCTGGTACAACAACCAGTGCTTCTATCTATACAATATATACATTCTAAGTTCTGAGTTCAACTAGTACAGAATCAGGTGGGTTCGAATCTTCTATCTATACAGTATCTATTCCAAAAATACACCAGTTCAAGTGGTCAGAATCAGGCGATTATGTGCCCAGAGTCTATCTGTCTATCTTCTATTAACATCTCATACCAGCTTCTTTAGGTTGAACTGCGACACTAGGTTAGATTTACCTTCAAGAAAATCAAGTGCCTTGGGTTCGGATCTTCAGAGATTTCTATTAATTTCAATATATCGTCTCATTTAGTAGGTAAGATTTGAAACATCCTCAGAGGAATTCCCGATTCCTTAACAACTACTTGTAACAACAGAATTTTACAATATTTAAATATAGGTTCAACGAGTGCATCTTTTATTGTCGTTTGGTGATAAAGTGCTAAAGAATCGAATCTTCAAGAAATGTGATTTCACGGTGTCTGTTTCAAATTTCACCTTCTACACTTCTGATGTTGTCTATTACGTGGGTACAATTCTTTCGTAGTTATTTCTGTTTCTACAATTCTGTTTAAGTGAAATTTCATTTTAACAGAATAATAGTTCGTGCAAACAATTTCCCGTCAAAGTTCCACCGAATCTCTACATAACGGAAACTTTCTAGAAATGTCGAATGGGTTTCGTGATGTAGGGAAATAAAAGTAAAGTGATATTTTGAAATAAATATAAAATCATGTTGGATCTTGTCGATAAAAGGCAATAAGAGTTAAATAACTATTACTTGTAATGTCTAAAACGATGATATTATATTCTGTTTCTATTCAGCATCTCAATATTGACAGTGGTAGTTAAGGTAAACAAATCAGAATAAAAACAAGAGATGAATAGATGTTGATTATTGTGGTGGGAGTGGTTCTGATCTTATCTCTTATAATATTTCCGATTATAGAAAGATGGGGACAACAACCTCGGCGTAATAACCTCGTCATAATAACCCCGCACTGATTTCAACACAATAACATCTCTATTCGGCAATCTTCGACAGTTTCTGTTAAGCTAGGCGTTGGCAAAACTTTTCACGGTGGGCCATTTGTAACATCTCAAGTATATGTAAGTCGGTTTTGATATCAATGTTATTTTCCTCTATGTCGTATTTTGTCGCCCCATGCCATTTAATACAGTATCATGTCGGTTCCTCTTATTTCATGTTATGTCATATGACGTTTTTTTTCTCATCTACTTCATGTCGTTTCATTTCACCCTATGTCGGTTGCTCTTCGTGTCGTTTCATTTCGCTCTATGCCTGTTGCACTTCTTGTCGTTTCATTTCGCCCTATGTCGGTTGCTCTTCTTGTCGTTATATTTTGCCCTATGTCGGTTGCTCTTCTTGACGTTATATTTCGCTCCATGTCGGTTGCTCTTTATGTCGTTTCATTTCGCCCTACGTCGGTTGCTCTTTATGTCGTTTCATTTCGCTCCATGTCGGTTGCTCTTCGTGTTGTTTTATTTCGCTCTAGCTCTATGTCGGTTGTCTTTCGTATGACGTCTTTTCATGTCATTATATTTCGCTCAATGTCGGTTTTAATTCGTTATATTTCGCTCTTTGTCGGTTTTAATTCGTTATATTTCGCTCCATGTCGGTTTTAATTCGTTATATTTCGCTCTTTGTCGGTTTTATGTTCTTTGTTGCGTCATTTCGCATTCCTCGAGTGATGTTAGTTTCAATGTCGATTATTGTCATTTCCTGTCGTTTTTATACCATTTCTTTCAATTTTCATCATTTGTGTGGGATTCGTAGCGCTTGTAATTATTTCAAGTCGGTTCATTGTTTCAGAAATTCGTCTCTCATTTGAAATATAGCGAACGTGACAATTTGCCTGACAGAGATTCAACAATACAAAATATTTTAACAATATCAATTGATTTTATCTGACCAACCTGTGTCAATTATAGAATACTGTCTCGTGATTTCAGTCATCCGTTACTATCATTAATTAATTAACAACCTGTCAATCAATACATACCCCGACATCTTTTAGTTGACAAGCAATTGGTATTCTCTTCCTGTTTTTACAATAGACATGAAATAAAAAGTTGTTAGACGGAAGAACATACGCCTACAATGACAGTTTAGAAAAAAAGGTTAATCGAAAAAACCGACATCTTTCAGGGGGCGACAGCTCTCTTTTCTATCAAAGTTCCTTATCTTTCAATCAAGGGAAATGACAAGTTGTGAGACAGGACAACATACACCTACAGATAAGAAATTATTCTGTTTCATATCTCCAAATGTACAATCGAGCGAACGGATTGGCAGAAAGACGTCGGAATAAACGAACAAAATGTACCCCGACATTTTCAAAAGAATAAAACAAGATGTTAAATAACATGTTAAGTAACTAAATTACTAACAAACTAAATGACTAATAGATCAGTTTACTTCACAATTTCTTACCTATAACTGGACAGGATTGTAAAATTTAATAATCTCAATGAAGAAGATAAAAAGAAGAAAATACAATAAAATAATGAAGATTATATATATATATTATTTATTTACTGGAATATAAATTATTTTATTTATCTATTGATGATCTCATGGGACAGAATAATCAGTGAATTAAGCACTAGTAACCTCTTGTCAATTCATAATCTTCAGTCTTGTGAAACACATGATTTCGCTCTGTTGCTAGGTTGATTAACATGGCATCCCCTGCAAAGAGTCCACATATCTCAACTAGTATCACTTTCGGAAAATCCACATAGCTTATAATGTTTATCAGTTATCTAGAATTGTCAATTCGTCATTCCTTTCAGAGAGTCCACATAACTAATAATGTTTATTTGGTATTTTGATTTGTCAACTAGGCATACCTTTCAGAGAGAGTTCACATAGGTAATAATGTTTATTTGGTATTTAGATTTGTCAACTAGGCATTCCTTTCAGAGAGAGTTCACATAGGTAATAATGTTTATTTGGTATTTTGATTTGTCAACTAGGCATACCTTTCAGAGAGAGTTCACATAGGTAATAATGTTTATTTGGTATTTAGATTTGTCAACTAGGCATACCTTTCAGAGAGTCCACATAACTAATAATGTTTATTTGGTATTTTGATTTGTCAACTAGGCATACCTTTCAGAGAGAGTTCACATAGGTAATAATGTTTATTTGGTATTTAGATTTGTCAACTAGACATACCTTTCAGAGAGTTCACATAGCTAACAATGTTTATTTGGTATTTAGATTTGTCAACTAGGCATACCTTTCAGAGAGTTCACATAGATAATAATGTTTATTTGGTATTTAGATTTGTCAACTAGGCATACCTTTCAGAGAGTTCACATAGATAATAATGTTTATTTGGTACTTAGATTTGTCAACTAGGCATACCTTTTAGAGAGAGTTCACATAGCTAATAATTTTTATTTGGTATTTAGATTTGTCAACTAGGCATACCTTTCAGAGAGTTCACATAGCTAATAATGTTTATTTGGTATTTAGATTTGTCAACTAGGCATACCTTTCAGAGAGTTCACATAGCTAATAATTTTTATTTGGTATTTAGATTTGTCAACTAGGCATACCTTTCAGAGAGTCCACATAGCTGATAATGTTTATTTGGTATTAGGTTCGTCAACCTTAGAGACTTCACATCGCTCTTTTGGAATTAATCTATTCAACCTTCATCAATAAATAAAATTTCCAGTTGACCAAGTTTTTTGTAAACGAGTAAATAATTCGTCATTGTTTGTGTTAGTGTGTTAGTAAGAAGAAAATCTATAAAATCGTTTAGAACCAAATTGATGAGTAGAATATAAAAACATCAATGATGGAACTTAGTTAATGGTGCAGACAGACGCGAATTCTTGGCGGGAAAACACTAGGCGTTGTTAATTCTTGCTAAGAAAGGTAGAGACAAGTCAGGAAAAGGTTGATAGATCTGACAGTTTAACCTAGAACTCAGTCAAGTGTTCAACTGTTTATAATCTTAAGTTGGAAGGTGGTAAGATTTAAGGAACCTTTTTTTCATTATTATCAATTATGATTTGTTCTTTAAATAAGGTCCGGATTTTATCTAGATTTGAAATTTTGAAGAGTTTCCCTGTTTCCCAAATTTGTAAATATAATATTCTGTAAGAAAAAGACTCGAATTCACCAGTCATCATTATCAGAGAGGTGTATTTATAAAGTAGGTATGACTCAAACGTCGCTTAACATACTGAATAACTTACTACTCTTATAAACCAAGTTGAAAGTCAATATATCCTGTGTGTAAATTAGATAATTTATATAAAATAGAAATAGAAGGAATCTATTGATTTATTGACAAGAAGTAAGATTATAAAATATTGTGTTTAAACAGGTTAAATTTCTAATAAAAACAGATATACCTGATCAAGTTTTTACATCTACTTTGTAAATCAATTGTAAGCTGTTGACTCGTTTTGTCATGTTACAAAACTTTAAAAGACTTGTAGATTAATTGGTTCTATAGCCATTGATTTCTAATACTATTCGACTCTATAAATACATTGTATCAGGCCTTGTAGGGCTTCCATGAGTCCCCTATCAGAATATCTATTTTCTATATCTGTTATCATTTCATATATATTTTCAGAATAAGAATTTGATCATCTATTATTAAAATGGCAGAACCATCTAAAATGGAGAATGATATGAAAGCCAAGGCGAAGAAGGCGATGAAAAATGCCAGTGACCCGGTTCAGAAATTAAAATATTCTTTTCTAGCTAGAGGAGGGGCTGGTATGAAAAATCTCTCCAGGTGAGTTGAAATGTCTTTCTCTCGTGCAACCAATCCACATCAGGGTGAACAGGAAATAAAGGGCGAATCAGAGGGGGGTTCAATGGGACAGGGACGAAATGAGAGGGGGGGAATGGGAAAGGGCGATATTGGAAGAGTTAAAATGCACGTGTATAATAATATTGACCTATTCAATTTTAGATGGATTAGAAGAGTAGATGATAACGGGAATCAGAAACTAAGTTTAGAAGAGTTTGAAGAAGGATTAAGAGATCAAGGGATGAAAGATTTAAACAAGGAAGAGATGAGAGAAGTATTTAATAGATTTGATAAAGATGGAAGTGGACAGGTCAACGTTACAGAATTTTTACTCATGATGCAGGTTGGTGGATTATTTCAGTTGATTCCTTGCTAAATAAATTAAATGGCTTTGGGGCTGGTTGTCGTAAATCATAAGTTAACGTCTGATTATAGAAGATACTGATATCACAGTCTAGACTAAAGACGAAAAAATTCATTTCAATGATTAATAATCAAAACCTAAACGTTTTCTTTGGGTTCTTTTTTTCAGCCCAAAATGTCTGATAGAAGAATGCGACTGGTAAAAGCAGCTTTTGATAAATTAAACACAGACAGAGGTGATAAAATAATTACTACTGGAGATTTAGAAACAGTCTACGATTATTCCAAACATCCTAAATATGTAAACGGTGACTGGAATGGTAAAAGATGTCTGCGAGAATTCCTGGATTCTTTTGATGATAAAAACCAGCCTGATGGAAAGGTGAGTTGTCTGGTTGTGTCTAAAACCAGCTAGATGGAAAGGTGAGTTGTCTGGTTGTGCCTAAAACCAGCCTGATGGAAAGGTGAGTTGTCTGGTTGTGTCTAAAACCAGCTTGATGGAAAGGTGAGTTGTCTGGTTGTGTCTAAAACCAGCTTGATGGAAAGGTGAGTTGTCTGGTTGTGTCTAAAACCAGCTTGATGGAAAGGTGAGTTGTCTGGTTGTTTCTAAAACCAGCTAGATGGAAAGGTGAGTTGTCTGGTTGTGTCTAAAACCAGCTAGATGGAAAGGTGAGTTGTCTGGTTGTGTCTAAAACCAGCTAGATGGAAAGGTGAGTTGTCTGGTTGTGTCTAAAACCAGCCTGATGGAAAGGTGAGTTGTCTGGTTGTGTCTAAAACCAGCTAGATGGAAAGGTGAGTTGTCTGGTTGTGTCTAAAACCAGCCTGATAGAAAGGTGAGTTGTCTGGTTGTGTCTAAAACCAGCTTGATGGAAAGGTGAGTTGTCTGGTTGTGTCTAAAACCAGCCTGATGGAAAGGTGAGTTGTCTGGTTGTGTCTAAAACCAGCTAGATGGAAAGGTGAGTTGTCTGGTTGTGTCTAAAACCAGCCTGATGGAAAGGTGAGTTGTCTGGTTGTGTCTAAAACCAGCTTGATGGAAAGGTGAGCTGTCTGGTTGTGTCTAAAACCAGCCTGATAGAAAGGTGAGTTGTCTGGTTGTGTCTAAAACCAGCTTGATGGAAAGGTGAGTTGTCTGGTTGTGTCTAAAACCAGCTTGATGGAAAGGTGAGTTGTCTGGTTGTGTCTAAAACCAGCCTGATGGAAGGTGAGTTGTCTGGTTGTTTCTGTCTCCAATTGTTTCAAAATAACTCTGGTGGAACCATCTTCACAATGCAGTTAAACTGTTTACAGTCTTTCTGTCAAGGGCTTCGATTGTATCCGCTAACGTACAATCCAATCAGATCGCTGCATTTACAAACTTCCATGATACAAACTTGCTATTAAAGTCAAAAAGATTACATCTAGCCATAGAATTGTAACCTTTGGATATGCTGTTCTTATTATCAGAGACTTAATGCTTAATAATGACAATAGCCCGTGTTGAATAACGACCTAAAGAAGGCTATTTGGTTCAGTTGAAAGAATAATTTATTTAAGTTATTACATTTTCTCCTGGGTACCGATGGGTACTTACCTGTCAATCTTACATGTAGCAACTTTGCACCTGTGCACACTTACTCTGACGAAGGTCTGTAGAGCACAGTGCTGATGTAATAATTGTATGTTGTTGATGACAGACACATTATGTACTATTGCATCTTCTTATAACCAGGTAAGAACAATCCCAACACAAGATCCAAAAGTTGTGTTAAATACTGGTCATGAACTATCCAAAGATAACATTACCTATTGAATAAAATACAAACTTGTTAATTAAATTACAAGATGTTTGATTGGTTAAATTTATGGTTTTTATCTCAAAAGAATGATATATTTTGATATTAGGCCTATACATGATTAGGCCATTGGGGCCTATTAATTATGATTATCAATTTCAATGACCAATTCATAAATCTTGTATACACACTTACCTTCTATGAATTGACGATGTACAGAGTGGTAGGCCTACTGCATACTTCAGAAATTCTATCAAAAAAACAGTCAACAAGTCTCATTTGAAGTGTGTAACAAGACAAAAAAAAAAGAGAGGAGTTTCTCGATGACTGTCTACAAAAGCACACGGTAACAAGTGCAAAACCAACGATTAAACGAATAAAATTCAATCGCTGGAAACTTATTTTATAATGCTGTCTGTTTTAAAGATTTTAACTAAAAGAAAACTTTACTTACATTACACAATTCATTAAGATTGTAGAGGTAAGATCCACTCGCTTCTGCCATCTTGCTGTTTGACAGACGACCGGAAATAAACACTACCTCTAAGTTTTCGCGCATGCGCTGCAGAACGTATTTCGATGACGTCGTGTTCCGAGTGACGAGTTGGCGTTCTATATTATTATAATTCTATGATGTAGCTTAATATTGTTTTTAGGGTGGGGGTATTTTACTACAACTCTCCTCGTCTATTTCCAGGTAACATTTGAAGAATTTCGTGCCTATTATGCTGCTATAAGTTGTGGAATTGATAAAGATGCCTATTTTGATCTGATGATGAGACAGGCGTGGGGAATCGAGGCCGTGTAAATTTTTACAGTTTGATGGTCCGAGAATTGTTTTGCTTTGTATATAAATTTTTCTGATATTTTTTAACAGTGAATATTACAAATTTGAAGACTGAATATTTCTTTTATGAAACGACCGCGTATTTCTAACAGTAAATTTTACAGTGTATCGTCATCTCAATCTCAAAATGTCAAGCGACTAAATATTATTGATTTTGACTGGAATTCTTGTAAGTTTTAATATATTGATTGGTGTTAGGGTGTATTGAGGCGAGTCTCAATGAAAGCACTAGATTGGTATGAGAGATCCTATTTTACGCTACAATTTTAAAATTGAATATTGCCGTTATATATTATCATTTGGTTGTCAGAAACAATGTGTAGTGTATTTTACAGTAAAATGTTACAGTGTAGCTTACTGTCTCCGCTTATAAACAAAATAAATAAGGAAGTGAAAAATATATTTAAAAATAAATGATTGGCTTCATAGATTTCATTCTGAAAAAAAAAAACTAATATATTTTAATGTTTTATTATATTTGTGTGTTTTATTATATTGGAGTGTTTTAGAGGGTAATGTTGTATTTCTTCCTGGTATTTAATATTTGGACAATAAGTAACTAGACACAATTATATAGATAACTAATATTTTAATTGGTGACGGATTAACATAAACCTTGGCTTGTTTCCTAAACCCTATTTATTTTATACTCTGTAAAAATTATATATAAAATAGAAATAAAATACTGTTTAAACTATTACTTTAATAAATAACTTGCGACGTTTCGATGAAGGTTCTTCCGTCTTGATTGCCTGATAAAGAGGAAAGTACCTTCGTCAAAACGTGGCAAGATATTTTATTAAAGTAATTGTTATCTATATAATTGTGTCCTGTTATTTATTGTATTTTAGGTGTAAAAACAAAATCATTGTGAAGGGAAATAGTCGTCTAAATATTCGCTTTACCATCATTGATACACATTCCATTCTAACTATACATAACACTATTCAGAATCAAAACTTGACATCTAGTTCGTCTGCAATAATGAAAAGAGAACTATTATACTGTCTGTGGGTATATGTTAGTTAGCCTGTTAAGCCGAATCAATACTTGCAAGAGACTGGCTTGTACATACTAGAAGTTTTAAAACAACCAATATCTATCGACTTCAATCTAAACACTGTCAACAGGACACGAAATTTTCAAGGAAAATAAATTGTCGTCAAAATCATTTTAAAAATATCCTGTTTCATTTCGGCCTTCCAAATACTTGGATACTAGACTTGTTGAAGTTTAAGACAGTGACCCAGGCTAGGTATATAATTCATAATAAACTCTAGGTCTATATCAACTGGTAAAGTCAATATTTAGACGACATATTCCTTATTTTATAAACCAGTATGATATTTTTATAAAATATTTTCTCCACAATATAAGTATTAATAATATAGTAAATACTCGGAATCATAAAATCAGAATTCAGTGTTGTCTGTCGTCGTTTCAAGCACGCTCCTAAACAACAGTTTTATCACGCGAGGCCCAATCGAATTCGAATAAAATTACTTTTATTCTTTGTTCTGATATTTTTTCGTCTATATTGTAATCTATCAAGTATTCAACCACAGTTCTGTTTTAATGTTATTATCTTTAACCAATCAAAACGTGTCATGTAGAACTCCTCTTTCGATAACGATAGCGAATTATGGGATACAAATGAAACCATGACTGAGGCTGTTATACTGCTGTACTCAACATCACAACGATTTTAAACTTTCATCGAACCAATCTCTCTCTCTCTTACTGCTGTCCAGATATCCCTGATTATTTTTATATTTTTACCCACTGATCACATAACTCCGTCCGCATTGATTAAAACCAGTATTTTATAATATTTTTATCTTGATAATTATTGTATTGAACACTATTTTAACTGTGAACGTATATTATTATATTGAACACTATTTTAACTGTGAACATATATTATATTATTGTATTTTTATTTAGATGTTAAAAACGTTTTTTAGTGTATTTTATTGTCTTCAGTATTTTTACGATATTTTTAATTTTCAGTTTGACAAAATTTAAACATCACATAATTTAGCATAAATTTGTCTAAATATTTACTTTCTTAAATTTACCTTAATATTTACTTTCTTTGATGATAGAACTCGAGTTCAGCTAAACCTATCACTATCAGAAATGAAAGTAATTAACTATAGAGGACCATGTTACTATTTGGTGGTCTGTGAATGAGTAGGCACAGGTAGGCCTATTTGAAAATTTCATCAAAGTACAAAGTCAAAATGCTGAAAAAAACTAGACTCTCTCACTACATCGGCACTTTTATACTTATTATTGAAACTTCAAATACACTGTGCTTTGAGCATTTTGAGTTAATACAGACAATATAAACTGTTTGCCAAGTATTCTAGTATTGTAGCCTATATAAGTATTAATTAATATATATATAATATTATCATTATTATGTATCTCAAGTCAATAATCAGAATATATCAAAAATAAACTTTTTACAGCACTTTCATCTTGTGGTTTTTATTGTACGAGTAATAGGAAAGGGAAGAGAGGTAATGTTTTATAGCCGGATAATGTGGTTTGGGCGGTTGGGATTCAAACCCACCGTTTAATGATAAATCTCTATTATAATTGTTTTCTGTAATAAGTTAAATAATAGATGAAAAACTAGTTTCTTTCTGGTGAAGTTCAGTATATGAATTCCAAAATCTCTAAAGTTCATATGACGGGAGAATATGGCTCTAAGACAAAGCATCATCGGTTCAACTGACAATAGGAAGAAAAGGGATCCGTCAATTTCATTAAAATAGGCGAGTAAGCCTGCAGGCATATTTCTATGTTTTTCTGGCAAAAACCACTGATCACATTTTGAAATGGTTGAAATACATAAACGGACCCAATCTAGATATCAACAACAGACCACCATTATCTTGATTTTAACAGTTAATGGGAGCTAACTCTTGTTTTTATTAAAACGGGCACCTGTTGGGAGTTATTATTGTTTCATTCAATTCTTCTTTTTAAAAACTGAAATATTTATCATTAAAACGTCAACAATCGTTTTTCTCTCCTAAAACTTTGTATCTATGACAAAATGTTTTCATGCTCATAAAATTCATGGAAATTTAGTGATGAATAAAAAACTGAATTGAGTAAAAATCAAAGATGTCTCCCTGTTTCTATGACGACAATCAAAACATCTATTTCATGTCATTCAGGTTTTTTTGTGTCAATTTGCCCGCCTTATCGTGAATTTTGGACAGTTGACAAGAATTAACTTGCAGAAATTTTACACTTTCAATACCGGTAAGAGTTTTTTATGCTCTGCTTTTTTAATTTCTTTTAAATTGTGGCCATTTTGAAATATTTCTGAGCCCAAAACATTGAACATTATGTCAACATTGATTGCAATTTCGCCATTGTTTTTATTGAGCAACTCAGTGCATGTTTTGTTTTGTTTTTTCAGGTTTTAGTTTTTAGTGTTTTAGATCCACAACAAATTTCATAATGGCGTGTACACAGAGAGCAAACCGAGAATTAAAAGCTAAAATGCAGAAAGCTTTACAAAATGCAACAGATCCTGTAGAAAAATTGAGGGCAGCTTGTTTATCTCGGGGTGCTACAGGTATCAAAGGGCTGGCTAGGTAAGTCTTATTTAGAGGTGCAGAAGTGAGTGAGGGTTGATGGGGGAGGGGGTTATTTGGCCCAAACAGAGCTGGATTTTGTCCATTCTTGTTTTTAGCGAATTTTTTGGCTGAGATGAGATTAACCAAAGTAGTCTATGTAATATTCCCACTCAATTAGTCAATATCATCATTTTGGTTATTTATTATTATTATTTTTGAAAGTTTATAGACATCTATTTTTCAAGTATCTCTGTATATTTTGTTTTGACCATTTTAAATATACACAGTTTAAATGTGGCTTGAGGCCAGAATGGACTTGGACAAGAAAACAAGTTATTTCATGTTGAAGCTAAAAAAAGGGTTTCTAGACTTTTTGGCTTTTATTTGCATTTTTCCATCTAAATTCTCAGAAATTTCTGTTATTCTCACAAGATTTGAAACATTGAACAGCCATTTTATTTAAAATATCTCTCATTGAACACTGCATAGCATTGCTCATCTTCACTTGTCATTGGGACAATAAACAGCTACAGTCTGTAGACTGTCTTCTGACAGTTGGAAATTGAAAAAGAATAGGCTAATGTCGCTGTCCTGGCAAAATTTCCCTCATTGCACACTTCATGCTAAGTTGTAGCTGTAAAGTACCAATTTCATCTATCACAAATTTCAATATCATAAATTTTATTAATTTTTTTCCAGAACATTTAAGATTATGGATGATGATGAAAGTCGTTCGTTAGATTTTAAAGAATTTAAAAAAGGAATCTCTGATTACGGTTTAACAGAAATTAAAGAAGAAACAGTCCAAGAATTATTTACAACTTTTGATAAAGATGGAAGTGGAACCATTGATTTCGATGAGTTTTTAGTTCATTTACGTGTTAGTATAAAGAAATTTTTTCTTTTTTTTTGCTGCAGATAAATGCAAATGCACATCAGTGTAATTTTAATGATATGAATTATGAATATAGACATGACTGAATTCTTGTGTGTTGGATTGTCACCTTCCCTCAAGCCTCTAAGCAGCCAATTGGAGCTGTTTTCTTTAATCATATTGTTCTTTAGCATGGTCAGTTATAGTGATACTACGTCTTAGAATGAAAATGAAAGTTCTCGAAAATGGTCAATATGAGTATATATTCATCAGTGAACTTACTTGGTGTCATAAAGTTACAACAGAATCCCTGTAAAATCTGGACAATTGGAAAATTCATAAAAACGCTTAATCTTAATATTAAGTGTTTTTCAATAGTTAATTGCATATTTATGGATAATTACTAAGTGTTTTGGATTTATCGGATTATATAAGGATCCTGTTATGTTATTTATGACACCAGGTATATCTACTGATGAATATATGCTCTTCTTGGTCAAGTTTAAAATTCTTAATTTTATGTTCATTGTAAGCTCATATAACATGACATCATTAGCATGGTCATAGCATGGTCATAGCATGGTCATAGCATAGTCATAGCATAGTCATAGCATGGTCATAGCATGGTCATAGCATGGTCATAGCATGGTCATAGCATAGTCATAGCATGGTCATAGCATAGTCATAGCTTAGTCATAGCATGGTCATAGCTTAGTCATAGCATGGTCATAGCTTGTCATAGCATGGTCATAGCATGGTCATAGCATGGTCATAGCATGGTCATAGCATGGTTTATCTATTTTTTTAAGATCTGTATTTGAAAGAAGATGTAAATACTATTTTAGCCTCCAATGAGTAACACAAGAAAGAATTTGATTCATCGAGCGTTTACCAAGTTAGATAAATCTGGTGATGGAATTATAACGACAGATGATTTGAAAGGTGTCTATAGTGTTAAAAAACATCCCAAATATTTAAATGGAGAATGGTCTGAAGATCAATGTTTAGGAGAGTTTCTAAAAACTTTTGATACACAAGACAAAGATGGCAAAGTAAGTTTTTTTTATTTCCCATATTGTTTTTTTTCATATTGTACAAAATTTTGCACTTAAATTTGGTTTTAGAGTAACAAAAGATATGACAGACTCCCTTTTAATAATGTAGACTCTTCCAAATATAAATTTTTTATTACAATTACACTATTGCTATATCTTTTGAAATAGTCTATTTATTATAATAGGGGTGTCAGTCATTTCACTGTCATTCTCAGTCAATCTTTGAGCACAATTGTAACCCTTTTTTTGCATGAAAATGACCAATTTGCACAATTTTACCCCCTGTGTATATGTAGCAAAATATTTTACAAGGTCATATTTGCACCTTATTTGCATATTTTGAGGTTTTCAATTTTCACCTCAACTCTCCCCTCACCCTAGTTTTTTGAGCACTTTGCAATGTTTGTATCATACAGTATTTACATTTCTAATATTTGATCTAATATGTCTACCTTGTCTATAAATATCTTTCTGTTAGATTAGTTTTAGAATAGATGCTAGTGAAAACTTTAATTCAATTAGAATTAGAATAGAGCCCTAGTTACTCATGCTGAGACTTTATCTTTAAAATATTATAACCTCTTTACAATCAATCCTTCTGCTCAAAACTGACCCCTTTCAAATAACCCTGTCAAAATCTTCCCTTCAACTCAGGTATTGTTCCCTTACCCATGATAACAAACTGTTAACACCTACCAACAGATTTCAGATCACCCCGTCAAAATCTTCCCTTCAACTCAGGTATTGTTCCCTTACCCATTATAACAAACTGTTAACACCTACCAACAGATTTCAGATCACCCCGTCAAAATCTTCCCTTCAACTCAGGTATTGTTCCCTTACCCATTATAACAAACTGTTAACACCTACCAACAGATTTCAGATCACCCCGTCAAAATCTTCCCTTCAACTCAGGTATTGTTCCCTTACCCATTATAACAAACTGTTAACACCTACCAACAGATTTCAGATCACCCCGTCAAAATCTTCCCTTCAACTCAGGTATTGTTCCTTTACCCATGATAACAAACTGTTAACACCTACCAACAGATTTCAGATCACCCCGTCAAAATCTTCCCTTCAACTCAGGTATTGTTCCTTTCCTTTACCAACAGATTTCAGATCACCCCCAGAACAAATTACTACCTCCCTTGCCCTCTAAACCTTCCCTGACCCAAAGCCTTCTCACACTATTAACCTTTCTTTACCCACCAAAACCTTCCTGACCCCCATAAGTAACCCCTCCTTACCCCTAATACTAACCCTACCCCGTACTGTTTTCAGATTACCTACGAGGAATTTGAGTTGTACTACGCCGGAGTCAGTGCTTCAATTGATCTTGATTCTTACTTTGATCTTATGATGAGAACAGCTTATAAATTAGACAACTAAAAATCACACAGAAATAATTTACTAGTTTTTATTATTCTGCTTGTTTTTTTACCTGCTTGAGCTAATTTGATAAAACTTTCTGATCTAGATTATAGATAATATAATAATAATAAATATGACAGTTGTATTATTAATATCTCAGAAGATTAATTCAAATTTATCAGTTTTTGAAATAGAAATATGGTAGTTTTGCTTATTGCGTTATTTTATCCATTTTTATATAACATTATTTAACTAATATTTTACAAACCTTATCAGGCACACTTGTAGATTCTATTTGTACTAATCTGATTTCCTATTCAATTTTTGTGGTTCCTAAAATCAAGCGTTTGTTTATGTTTGTTACTAATTCACTAACCATATCTCTGCATGCCTAGAAACTCATCAAAAATAGAAAAGATAAAAGATAACAGCATGTCTGCCATGAATATTGACCACTTGATATCTTTGCTACATTCCTAAAGCTTGATAGACAGAAATCAGGCCATTGTTTCTCAATGAATCTTACAGTGTACTATACACTGAATGTACGAAAAACTGTTGATATATGAAATTGAAAAAGAGTAGGATCAAGGCAATGATGCTGTCCTGACAAAATTTTAACCCTGGATGGTATTTATCTGTCTTGGGTAGAATGTAAAAATGTTTTATTTTATATTGAGAAATACCTCAGTTGCAACAAACATTGATTATAAGATATTTTGAGAAAACTGAGCCAGTCTATATTGCTAGTGCTTGCTTATAATCTATAATATTTTAATCACAGTAACAAAACTTCCTCTACAATATTAATTGTCTGTCTGTGCAACTTGATTCTATTTTTAGTTTTTAGACTTCCACTTTTACATAAATCTTACATTATTTTTTATCAAATTGTTAAAACTATGCTTGCAATCTCTAAATGCCATTAAATACTAGTGAATGTTTGAAGGTGCCCTATCACCATAGCTATTACTAAGTTGTATGTGTAAATAATGAATGTGGTCTTCATATCAGAATACAACTCAGTTATTTGAGAATTACATTCAAAAACTTATGACTGTTATTTTTATTCAAAACCATACACAACTGGTGATCGCCATGGTGATGGGGCACCTTTAGAATGCCAGTGAATGCCTTCTAACGCTCGTATTTTATTTTGGCTAGAAAGTTTTCCTGAATGTTTTCTGACTGCACCCTTCACCCGTTATATTTCAGATTACGAAAGATGAATTTTTGAATTATTATTCAGGAGTAAGTGCCTCGATAGATCAAGATGCGTATTTTCATCTGATGATGACGAACGCATATCAACTTAAAGACGAATAGAATATCTACGTCATTTCTTGTCTCTTTCTATCATTTTGTAATTTTTCAAGATCTATATTTAGATCAGGCAAAAATTGATTTAGAAATTTTGAGTCAACATAGGCTTGGTTCAAGATCTCTGATTGGCTTATTGTTAACCAATCAAAGTTTCTAAAAGTACCTAGTTAGGATCTTATATTGTGCCTGCCATTTCCAAAATTTTTCTAAATTAGGATTTTAAATTGTTAAAAAATTATAGAAATATGACAAACTCTTGTTATATATATATATATATATATATTTATCAGTTAGAATGGAAGTGTATGATTGGTTGAGAAAGTGTCTTTTACGTTCCTGCAACTGCCAGCTTTGCATTGTGGTTACCATAACAACATTGTATTACACTATTTTCATGACTCTTCTTCACAAAAATTTAATTGTTGGGATCAAAAATAATGGTTTCCATTTTGAAAGAATAATTTGACAGATTTCAAATTTTTGTGCCAAAGAGTTTTAAGATTTGTTAGAGGTTACTTCTAAAATCTTGGTTAAATATTCAGATGAAATTTATTTTGACTTTTCTCAAGTTATTAAAACACACATTGACATTATTGACTAATGATTAATGTTGTGAATTCTAATGAATCTTAATTGTTGAAATAATAAATAACACCTAAAGATATCTACCTATTTCTCTCTATGATGTATATTGTATTATTTTTGTATATATGTCATATTATTTAGCTTTCTAAGACGAAGAAATTGTTTGTTATTCACATATCATATAAAAATTTATAAATGCTAAATACAGGTCTTTGAAGTTTACAAACATTGCAACATTCTAGACTCTAGTTAAAAAGCTGTTTTGAATTTGTTCAACATGTACAGCAGTTGAAAGTTGAAAAGTTGTAGAAGGGACTTTATTGCTGTCACAACTAGTTGCTGAATATAGCTGGCCGCTTTAACAGGACATACTGTATATATACTGGCAAGGTTTTCAGAAATATTTTCTACTCTATATACAAGGAATAAAACAAAACTTTAAACTTCTGTATGTAAACAGCAGCCTGTCACCTGTCTATCTCCAGCAGTTCATTTTAAACCAATATATTCTCTTGTCTGACTTCCTACTTCTTTTTCATGTTTTTATTTTTTCTTCATTTCATTTTTCCTCTACTCAATTCTTAGAAAACATTTTCATTTTTTCGTGTCCTTGTGTAGATTAATATAATTTTAACAATTATGACATTGTGGTGGTTTTTAAGTGCTTAGATTTGTGATTCTATGTTTTCTGCCAAAATTTCATTCAATTTGTACACTAGATTATTATCCATTGATAAAATTGGTGGGGACTAGCTGTTTAGGGAAGTAGGCCCGTTTCCCCTTTAGAGTTGCGAGCAATGAAAGCTCTCCTCTGGGTAAACTAACCATACTGTGTCCCAACCACTGAAAAAAGTGACAAGGATTTGTCTGTGTGTCCCCACCGAGATCTGTACCGATGTAGATTTTATTTACGAAATGGGAGGATGATGATTTTAGAGATAAATATAAAATAAAGTAGATTATCAATGTTTTTTTTGGAAGTATCTTGACTGTATTTTACTAAGTTTCAATGATTATTTTATTTTATTAAATCTTTGTGTTTTTTATCTGCTATGTAATATAGTGTTTTATTTTTAATTTTCTATTAAACTATATTTATGTAAATTGTAAAGTGTTTATTTTATTTGGACAGTGAAAAATGAATTCTGAATGATAACAGTCATTTGATGGTTATTTTCGTTTTTCTTCAAGAAATTTCCTCCGTCAAGAAGTTTATGATTGTACAAATTTGATTTTTTTGTATGTTAGAACATTTCTATTTAGAAAATGTCAAAAATTTCATTTGTGAAGCTATTGTTCCAAAATCATGTTTTTGATAATGTTTTGATTATAATTCACTATATAAGATTTTCAAAATAAATTCAGCATTTTCAACAATCAGGAAAATATTCTGGCTTCCATCATCTACAATTATTTAATATTTTATAAAGTATTTTCATTTAAATCCAAAACATCTGCCGAAAATAAAATCTTGCCTTGAGATGTAAAAAATCCCAGTTTTCAATTATAAAAGGTGTCTTATTTAAGTATTAATTATTCAGTATTTTCTTGATGTGTTTAGAGAACTCGCGTATTCATTGTTTTAACATATAAAATACGTTAGGTTGATATAAATTATATGTTTACAATTGGAAATATCTAAAATAATTTTAATTTCTATAGTATCTTAAAAATATCAAATTTTTACACATTTAAATGGAGTACTAAATTTGTTTTTGTCTTTCGGATGCATATTTATTTGCTAATTTATAAAACACAGAGTTCACTTTACAACTAAACCAATTTTTACACAATTAAAACATACATTGAGGATGAATTCAGAAACATTAATAACACAAGATATATAGATATACTACTTCTAGGTTTATTACATACTACGTTTAGAAACACATACAGGTAACATTAAAAACACAAGTTATATAGATATACTACTTCTAGGTTTATTACATACTACGTTTAGAAACACATACAGGTAACATTAAAAACACAAGATATATAGATATACTACTTCTAGGTTTATTACATACTACGTTTAGAAACACATACAGGTAACATTAAAAACACAAGTTATATAGATATACTACTTCTAGGTTTATTACATACTACGT